CCTCCTCCCTGGTCCCCTGAGGCCTTCCCAAGGAAGCTGACTTAGAGGCTCTGCGTTTTCCTGGTTTCTCAGCAAAAGGAAGATTCCAGGGAGAGCCCAGGGGGGCCGGAGATGGATCTGGGATCAGGCAGCAGCCAGGGTGGGGACTTGGAGACCACCTTCCAACTGTGGCTGCAGCTGTTCCTCTGGGCCCACCTGGCTGTACGTTTCCTGGGCTACCTGCACCACACCTTCTGGGGGCCTGAGCGACAGCCAGCACCCTGAGCCTCCCTGGCCAGGGGACAGAAGGCCCCCAGATCACCCCGTCCCACCCACCCTTTATTCCACCCTCTGCTGGAAGAGACAGGAAGCAGAGGTGAGTGTGGGGCCTCTTGATTGAGGTTACCTGCCCCTCCACCCATCATCCCTCTCTCTGCCTGCTCCTCCTGGCACTGGCCTCCCCCATGCCCCATCCCCAAATCTGACAAGCTCACAAGGCTAGTGGCACCAGAGCCTGGGCTCTCTGGTCCTTTGAGAGGCCAGAGAAGGGCCATGCTAACAGCAGGGCACCCTGTGGAACTGCTCCATGGGGCACCAGCGGACAGCCAGAGGCTGGGAGCTCAGCGAGTCAGGGAGGTGCAGGATTCAACAATTCTTTCCCTTTTGCTAAGAGCAAAGGGAAAACCGACCAGACCTTTCGGATTCCCTTGAAGCCCGGCACCTCTCTGCCTTCTTGTGTGGGTGAAGGCAGAATCCCAAGAGGGCACCCTCCACCCTCCCCATCCACTGCTGAGTTCTGTGTGGATTATTTGGAGGTTTCCAAGGAAGATGTTTTTGGTCACAAAGGTTCTAGCAGTGAAGCCAGGCACAGTGGCTCACGCCTGTAATCCCAGCACTTTGGGAGGCTAAGGTGGAGGAATCCATTGAGGCCAGAAGTTAGAGACCAGCCTGGGCAACATAGCAAGACCCCATCTCAAAACAAAACAAAACACACAAACAAAGGTTCTGTTAGTGAAAGCGTTGGATTTGGTGCAGCCCCCAGGCTCAGGCCCCTGCGCTAGTTGGTGGCCCAGCCAGGCACCCATCTAGGACTCCTGGCCACTCATTGCCTGTCCCCTCTTGGCGGGGTCATTCTTTGTGGGGCCTTCTTGGCCACGGTCTCTCTCTATCCCCCATCTAGCACTTTCTTTTTTTTTTTTTTTTTTTTTTGAGACAGAGTTTCGCTCTTGTTGTCCAGGCTGGAGTGCAATGGCGCGATCCCGGCTCACCGCAACCTCTGCCTCCCAAGTTCAAGCAATTATCCTGCCTCAGCCTCCCGAGCAGCTGGGATTACAGGCATGTGCCACCACACCCAGCTAATTTTGTATTTCTAGTAGAGACAGGATTTCTCCATGTTGGTCGAGCTGGTCTCAAACTCCCGACCTCAGGTGATCTGCCTGTCTCGGCCTCCCAAAGTGCTGGGATTACAGGCGTGAGCCACCGCACCCAGCCACCATCTACCACTTTCTAGCCCCATGAGGGCTCTTCTCTCTGAATGCTGAGGGAGAGCTTTGGGGACAGGTAGGGGGGGTGGCTCCCCCCAAGGCCATGTGGAATTCCTGGCAGGCAGACAACCAGCAATGCCAAAGGGCAAGTGTACAGGGCCCCTCAGGGTGGTAGCAAACCCAGGAACATCAGGGGGTTGAAGGCAGCTCTGTCCACATTGGCCACCCTGGTGCCCTGGACTCAGCGCTGAAACCAATGGCTGAGTCGGCAGTGAAGTAGTTAATCTCATGGGAAGTGGGGGCGGGTCAGTGACCTCAGACCTGATCAGTCTTCTCATCTGTACAGTGGGAATAACAGCAGCTCCCACCCCAGAGGGTGAGAACGAAGCATAGAAAACACTCAGCGAGGGGCTGGTCCCTTGTAGCCCTAGGTGGTGGTTAAAGGACAAGTCCGTAATGCGAGAATCTGTCAAGCTGTGCATTTAAGATTTGAGCGCTCGACCGGGCGCGGTGGCTCACGCCTGTAATCCCAGCACTTTGGGAGGCCAAGGTGGGCAGATCACAAGGTCAGGAGATCGCGACCATCCTGGTGAACACGGTGAAACCCCGTCTCTACTAAAAATACAAAAAAAATTAGTCGGGCATGGTGGCGGACGCCTGTAGTCCCAGCTTCTCGGGAGGCTGAGGCAGGAGAATGGCGTGAACCCGGGAGGCGACGGAGCTTGCAGTGAGCAGAGATCGCGCCACTGCACTCCAGCCTGGGAGACAGAGCGAGACTCCATCTCAAAAAAAAAAAAAAAAATTTGAACCCTCAATGCCCCTATATTTGTTTTTGAGGTTTTTTTATGATTACTTTTCTTGTTTTGAGACAGGGCCTCACTCTGTCACCCAGCCTGGAGTGCAGTGGTTCAATCACGGCTCACTGCAGCCTCTACCTCCCGGGCTTGAACAATCCTCCCACCTCCACCTCCTGAGTAGCTGGGACTACAGGTGCACAACACCACACCTGGCTAATGTTTTTATTTTCTGTAGAGGGTTTTGATGTTGTCCAGGCTGGTCTTGAAATCCTGCATTCAAGCAATTCCCCCAACTCGGCCTCCCAGAGTATTATTATTTTTTTGAGACAGAGTCTCACTCTTGCTCAGGCTGGAGTGCAGTGGTGCGATCACAGCTCACTGCAACCTCAATCTCCTGGGTTTTGAGAGATCCTCCTGCCTCAGCCTCCTGCGTAGCTGGAACTGCGGGCATGGACCACTACTACGCTCAGCTAATTTTTTAATTGTTTTATTTTTTGTAGAGATGAGGTCTTGCTATGTTGCCCAGGTTGGTCTCTAATTCCAGGCCTCAAGCGATCCTCCAACCTCGGCCTTCCAAAGCACTGGGATTACAGGTGTGAGCCACCATTCCCAGCTCTCCCTGTTTGTTTGTTTGTTTGTTTGTTTTTTGAGACAGAGTCTCACTCTGTCGCCTAGGCTGGAGTGCACTGGTGCGATCTCGGCTCACTGTAACCTCTGCCTCCCAGGTTCAAGAGATTTTCCTGCCCTAGCCTCCCAAATAGCTGGGATTACAGGCATGTACCACTGTGCCCAGCTAAGTTTTGTATTTTTAGTAAAGACAGGGTTTCACCATGTTGGCCAGGCTGGTTTCAAACTCCTGACCTCAAGTGATCTGCCCACCTCAGCCTCCCAAAGCACTGGGATTATAGACATGAGCCATCATGGCCAGTCTCTCCCCATATTTTATTTTATTTTTTCTTTTCTTTTTTTTTTCCTTAGACAGAGTCTTGCTCTGTCGCCCAGGCTGGAGTGCAGTGGTATGATCTCGGCTCACTGTAACCTCTGCCTCCCAGGTTCAAGCAATTCTCCTGCCTCAGCCTCCCAAGTAGCTAGGATTATAGGCACACACCACCATGCC